TTGTCGCATATAGTTGAAGTATCTTCCTTCTTGTTCTCAAAGAAGTACCACAAGTGCAAGTTACTAATAACTTTAATTGTACGTATAGCATGTGAAGTATACATGTCGCAGTCCGCAATATTTGTATGAAATCAGAGTGATCCTGATCGAGGTCCTTGACAGTATCACAGCATCTCTCAAGGTAAAGCCTAAAGCGTCCTTGACCCTTCATTTGTTTTGTGATCCACAAAGTATCCTTGGCATTGGGTCCTTAAGCTGACAAGGCCTTACATTGGTTATGAACTATGGCGTCTTGGATACCTAGACTAGTTTGCAGTGTCAGTACAGGGACGTTGCGCTTTGCACCGCTGCTATTTTGTGCTTAATTAATTTGATAATACGTTAATATAGAGTGAACAAAAATGTAAATGTTTAATGTTTTGTAATCCACTACAATGCTAATGAAATGGGAGGGAGCATGGTGACCTTTTTTCTAGTTTGTAGTAAACAGTACAATTGTTTTTTTTTTTTGAAAAAAAAAAAGAAATGGCATGAGCTCTGCCTTTTAATTAAGGTAGTGAAAAGAGATGTTTATGTATAAGAGAGGGGAAAGCTGTTGTCACACAGCAGATCAACTGGAAGCCCCTAATCAGGATAGAAGAGCAGCTCCTATGAAAAAGCTCTTTTTCTAAGGTCTATGTCTTCCTTAATTCTCATGGCCACCTACAACGCTGTCTCTGTGGCATTGTTAAAAATTCTTCTATTCCTCTCTTTCCATAAATTCCAGAAGGTGTAAATCACCAAGCCATTGAATCTTCTCTGCTCCGCACTAGGAACTTTTTCTGTTGCGTCCTTCCACGAAGAAAAGACCTGAGAGGGGGCATGCTGTAGTTGGCTCAGGATGTCCTCAAAGTGCTCCCATGCTGATCTGATTTCAAACCGCCATGGCAAAGGGGCATTGCAAACACAGGTGTAGGGCGGTTTTCAGGGGCCCATTGTAGAGTGCGCAGTGATCTTCATGTGGCCACCCTCCTCTCTGCAAATTGTCCGTTGTTAGCACTTTCCCATGCATAAGTATCCAGGTAAATACCTTGCACTTGTTCTCAGCAAGTGCTTTCCAAATGTGGTAGCTCCGGAAGGCACCGAAGGACCCACTGAACTGCATCATGTAAGCTGAGCGGGTGGAGAAAGTGCCGTCCGGAGTCCATTTCCAAGTGATCGAGTCGGGAAAACAGTACAATTGTATATGGTGCTGCTGCGGGCTTCTTCTTTTTTTCTCTATCGAGTAGGCAGACTAAATCATGGATGGAGAAGAACAGGTTCTGATGTGCAAGAAATGTTTTAAGCCTCTGATATATATACTCCCTCCGTTTAAAGATAACATCAGCAAAAGAAATCAATGTGAACATGTATCATCAATTAATGTTCTGGGGGCACATTGGAAGAGAAGAGACGAGGGCAAATAATGAAACAAGTCCTCGTTGCATTTGCACATCTGGCTTGTATATAGTACCTTGTATAGGTGCCAAGATTGGAAAGGTTATTATTTGCCCTGCAGGCTGCAGCAGAGGATCAAGGGCGTGTTTAGATGCGAAAATTTTTGGGTTTTGCCTACTGTAGCACTTTCGTTTGTATTTGTTAATTAGTGTTTAATTATAGACTAATTAGGTTCGAAAGTTCCGTCTCGCGATTTCTCATCCAACTGTGCAATTAGTTTTTTTTTTCATCTATATTTAGTACTTCATGCATATGCCACAAGATTCAATATAATGATACACAAAAAAAAAATTTGGAAAACAGGCCCCAAGTGGCAGTGCTCACGGAGAGTCAGAGATACTCCTATATGACAATCGACAACCAAGACCCAATGAGCACATAAATGTGCTACTTGTGAGAAGGGGAATTGTCAAAGAAGGCAGCTGCAAATGGATGCATGCAGAGCCGCAGCAGATCGAGGCCTGCTCATCTTGCTCCAGGTCACGGGCTCTTGTTGTCTTCCTTCCTGCGAGGCTGCTGCAACCAACACAAATCATTGGGCTCATCTCATCTCATCTCATCTTGTCCCGTCAAGACTTTTGCCTCCAGGGCAAGTTATCCCACATGCGCTCGCCCATACATGTCGTGTACAGCCGGAATCCTTCTGTTTCCATTATCCAGGGCGGAGGATAATCGACCGGACCGGGCCGGCCGAGCCGGCGTCTGACAGCCTGTTCGGGAGGCTGTATCGTATCGTGGATTATTTACTGCTGGCTGGTTTGGTGTGAGAGAAAAATACTGTTCCCGGCTGTAAATTTACGATCGTTTACGAGCAAGCGAACAGACTGTGACAGTCTCAATTAATGGCGTCTCAAGAAAAAGGGATCCCGTACTCTGAACCTAGCATCAGCATTTTGCATTTGCTTGGTTTATCAGCCGAATTTTTTTAACGAACAAACAGTGTTTTTTCTCTCATAATAAATGAGCGACCAGTACTTTTCAATCTAGCTTTTCAACAAAACGAACAGGGCTAGCTAGCACCCTCAGGCCCCAATTCATGTGAGACATTTTCAGACTTGCTAGTATGAGTTTTACTCCGGTGGTCCTCTTTTCAACAGTTGCACACATCTCAAAGCACCTAGGTGATTAATTAAAATTAATTACGTTTGGATATGGACTCGGGCTGACCCTGTCTGTGTCCAAGCCCATGCCCAGGCGCAGTCCACTCGATCCGTTCCCATCTGTTTCTCCTCTCGTCTCGCCGTCAGCACGCACATTTCTCGTAGGAACAGGAACCGGAGAGGCGGCGGCGGACGGCGGCAGCGCCAGCCATCCTGCAGATGGACGACGGTACCTCCTCTGGACGGCCGCGCCGCATCCCCCGCCTCCGCATCCAGGTCAGTTTCTCCTCTAGTACTTCTCCTATATATTCGGGCGTGCGCGGCACTCGCTAGCGACTCGGCGTTGGGCGGTGGCTGGTGTGAGGCTGTCCCTCTCCTACCAGATCTCGGCGGGCGAGTAGCGGCTGTGGCCTGCGGCGCGGCGCCACGACGGGCGGTCAGCGGCGGGTGGCTGCATTGCTTTGTGCCTGGCCGTGGGCCCGCGTGTGCCGGTGTGCGGCTGGTCAAGCGGAGGCGGGCGACAGCAGCAGCCGCGGCCAGCGCGCGGCGACAAGCGCGCAGGAGCAGCAGCTGCGGACCCGGCGACCGCCGTGGCGTCGCAGCCGCGCCACCTCCCCCTCGGCGCTGGCGGAGATACCAGGTGCATGGCCAGGTTCGTCTACCCCCAAATTTCTTTTCTTTTTTTTTTACTTCAAATTTCCTATGGACTTCGACGTGCGATGTTCAATTGGTTATAATTGCTTGTTGCGCTTGCCGAAACCTAGATTTTACAGCAATAGCTTTGTGAGTGTGGCTCTCCGGTTGCTGCCTGTAACTAAATGCTGGTCAGTAAACGTTTGATTCTGTCTATGGATTCGTTATGACTTGTCTGCTATGTGCACAACTGTACATTTATGGTGCCTTCGTATGATAAAATGTGTGTGTTGCCCCAGTATTTTTCTGTCATGTACTCATCTGGCTTAGTATGTGGTACTTGTGTCTAATGTTCTCAGAAATGCATTATTTGGCTACTGTTGTTGTTTTTTAAGAAATATTCCTTGAGTTAGTGAAATTTGTTCTGTCGATGTTGTAAACTTGATATCATTTTGTGCAATTGAGATGTTCAACCATTTGCACCTGCTTTCAGAGCTTATGTTGGCAACTTGCCATGGCAAGTCGATGGCTCTAGGCTGTTGCAATTGTTCAGCGAGCACGGGGAAGTTGTTAATGCTACGGTTGTCTAGGATAGAGAAACTGGGCGCTCATGTATCAATGGTGGCAAAGGAGGAACTCGATGATGCTATTTCTGGACAGGTGAGGACATTTTCAATTCTATATGATTTACAAATGATACCCTGAGAATATTGGACTCGGAACCAGTTCTTTTTTCTTAGCAGTGAAATACCAGTGCACAAGGTAAACATGGAAGCACTGAACTAATGTTAATTCTTATCTTATTAATTAACCATAGGAATTGGACGGCCGCCCTCTTCGAGTGAATGTTGCAGTAGAGCGACCACAGAGGGGCTTTTGATGCGGTGCTACGAGAGAGATGGCTGCTTGTTTGTAATGAATGGAGACACATTAACACTAGAGGTTCACTGGAGGTGTCTTTCTGGAGGTGTTTTGTGATGATCGACTGATCGCTGAAGATCGCAGAGATAGCTTAGCTGCTCCCTCCTTTACTTTTCTAAATTCTCATGTGTGTAGTTAGTTAAACTCTGTTCTTTGTTTCATTATGCTGTCTGAATGCTATACTAGGGCATGTTTAGAACGGTGGAATACAAAATATAGGAATGGGAAAAAACACAGGAATAAGAAAACACAGGAATTGAATGAATGGATAAAACAGAGGATTGAAAAAACACAGGAATTTCATTAGAGTTGTGTTTGGAACACAGGAATTGAAATATCTCATGAATTTGAGGGAGCTAGAAATAAATCTAAGTGCTTATACTAATGCACAGTGGTTCCACATGCTAGTTATTAAATGTACAAATATTGTGGTCTGCTGTGATCCACTCATTTCTTGTATTTTTAATGCCTCGTCGGTGGAATCATGAAAGGTGGCTCTGGCGGCTCAGGTAGGTACTGCTAACGAGGCTCCTATCGCTATTAGCAAGTGATCAGGCCATCCTTCACGCGCAGGAAAATTTTCAAGGGATTCAAGTGGATGTTTCCTTTTCTTCATTTTATGTAGGAAACGAAGCCTTTTCAGAGGAAAGGGACGCCCGGTTCCTGCAATCCAAACACATGGTGACGTAAGCAAAATGGAGGAATCTTGTTCCTTTGAAATTCCTATGACAGTCCCAGCAGTTACGCCTTTGGTTTCAATATAGGCAGGGTTAAGGCCTTTGGTCTAAAAAAAAGCATGGAGACACAACGGAAGAGCAATGGTACAAATTAGCGGAAGCTGATGCTGTCACAAGTTGCTAGATCCCTCCCTTAGCTTCCTGATGTTTGGTTCTTGCCACATATGTTCTTCCTAACGATGCCAACTTCACTGTATCCACCATATCTGCACTGAAGAACATCCATAATGACATGCTTGCGGATCCCAACAGCTTCCATTGCCATGATTTCTGTTTTCTGGAAATCCCTCAATTTCCGGTGAGACCAGAGGAATGGAACATCATCTTTTGTGGCAAGACAATGGTTGTGCTCGTCCACAAAACTACTCACATACCATACACCACGGGTTCGATCTAGTCTGATATCCAGTTTTGCTTGACAAACACATCGAGTTAGAGGTCTTGGTCTATGGCTTAAATCCTCCTTTAGCCATTTTGTTTCTCGCTCGCCTTCTCGAGAACACAAGAACCGCCAGAACAATAGTTGTCCAGAGTGCTCGGCACGCCTCACCTTCTGCTTTCTGACACTGAAACCCTTGTCCCTCGCATACTTGTAGAAAATGTAAGCCTCCCCTTCAGTTGCAAAGGTCCTTTTGACTATGTCCCAGTACTCATCCAATGTATTGTTCATCTCTGCACCAGCTGCCATTCTCGTAAATATATCATGGTTATAAGCACAGTTGCCATCTCTCTGCAGACGCAAATGTTTTGTTTCATCAGTATGGACATATGACGGAAGAGCATAGACAAGTACTCATTGACTGACACATCAAGAATTGGAGTTAACTGAATTGCAATAAAAAGTGCATAATCTAGTGCTAATTCGAAAGAACAGAGGACCCAAAACGAAGTAGTGGGACAGAGCACGGGAGGTTATTTCAACTCGATTCAGCTCGACGGTCTCTTGGCTAATCTCCCCCAACAGGGGTTGTGCAACACGACCGGGTGACCCGCCGCTTGAGCACCCATCGCGCCAACGTCCACTGCTGACGCCCCGCACTTGCTTTCACCATGAACAAGCAAAAGAGAGACATAACTACATTGCTTACCGTGATGTACGCCAGTACGCCACCACCACCAGACCTCGTCGGACTTGGCTTGCTCTTCTGCGGCAGGCACCAGATCTGGCCTTTGTGGATCGCCATCGATGAAAACAAAACAAGGGTCTGGTACATCTAGCCTCGAGAAGGAACGTAGAGGACCTTGTGCCTCATCTTCGCTCATCATGCTGGAGCAGTGAAAAAAAATCCGGATGAGTGCAGGTAGCATATTATGTAGGAAAGGCAAGGCAACAGACAACCTAAAGGAAAGAAAAAGATATTCGAACAGGATCTTTCCATCTCCCCTTTGATTTTACAAGAGATTAACAAAAGTTGAAGCGTTTCTAGACAAATTCCTTTCCCACAGAGAAGCTGCTAAAGCCAGAGGGGTTGATCCTGTAAAATTTGGTTCTAAATTTTAAGCAAGTAGTTCAAAATTTAAGCCTATCCCAGTCCCAGCACATGAGTATCAATTACGCGGGATTACTGATCTAATCCTAATTTAGAAATTCACATCAATGTTGCCTCCAGGAAATGAACGTGAACCATCCCTGCAATGTGACCAAGATTCGAGATGTGTGTAGCTCACCGGATCTCTTGAAAATTGAGAGGCGGCGGAGGCTGTGGCCACCACGCAGAGTGATTAAATGATCGTCACCCGTCGCTTATGCCGCCGCCGCCGCCGTCCGCCCAGTCCGCCGCCGCCGTCACCGTACAATGCCGCTGCCACCGCCCGCACTACAAGACCAGCATAGAGCGGGGGATGCCCAAGCAGATCGGCGCAAAGCCTGTCGCGTCTGCCGCCGGCCCCGTGCCCCAAGTCCACCGCTGTTTGCCGCCGCCGTCCCCGCCGCTGCGCTGCCGCCGCCGTCCGCCCACACTACATACCAGCGCCAGAGCGGGGGATGCGAGCTGAGGAAGGCAAACCGGCCGGGATGCCGGGGAGGAGGATCCGGCGGAGGTAGCGTCGCCTGCTGGATGGCTGTCGGCGCCGGCGCCGGCCACCTCTCCAGTTCCTGTTCGAACGAGAAATGGAGGGAGATAGCAGTGATGTGCGTGAGTGTGTACACAGATCGAGAATGACTCTGGGCTGGGGTGTTGGACTCCGAGTGGGCACGGACAGGGTCAGCCCGAGTCCAGATCCAAACGTAATTAATTTTAATTAATTACCCACGTGCTTTGAGATTCGTGCAACTGTTGAAAAGAGGACCACAGGAGCAAAACTACTGGTATTTAGTACCCAAAAGGAAAAGGCATGCATTCACTAAAAAATATATGCAGCATTGAGAACTGTGAAAAGATTTTCAGCCGTGGCGCATCAAGTCGCATTTTTCGCATCACGATTCAGGATCACTCTAAGGCACGGAGCGTTCAAATGATATAAAATAAGAAAATTGCAATGAGTACTGTCAAGAGAGAACTATTATATTGGACTATAGTAACCACCAAAACAACAAGTTAATTAGAAAATTCTCAATGCCAAGCAGCAAAGAAAACACATCACGCCATTAATTATATAGAATCTTAGTGTACCTCCAAGCAAATAGCAAACATCCATGTTCGAAAGACAGCTACTTATCAATCGTCATTTTGGGGAATTCACAATGGGCAACAGCATTTGTGCTCATGCAACAGCATGACAACTGACAGGAACACAACAGGAAGCACTAGCAGTAACCGTGACAATCAGGGAGAGGAAGTATCTCACACCTAGTGCGATAGTTGCCATGACACCGGCGCGTACCAGCGGTCGACCTCGGCGCCGGCGTTGTCCTCGGCCTTGTGCAGCGCGTACAGGACAACGAGGACGAGGCCGATGAGCAGCGAGGAGAGGATGTTGGCGGTGGGAACTCTCTGCGTCAGGCGGGGGCGGCGGAGAGGAGGGAGGAGCGACGGGTGCATGCGAGGACAGGCCACCTGCGGCTAGGTCTTGTGCAGCCTCGCGTCCTTTGGCGTCGCCGCGATGGGGTTCAGGTTTGGGTACGCGTGGGCGAGGGGTGACGGGGGGAGGAGGGGGGAGCGACGAGTGCTGGCGAGGGCAAGGGTGAGGTGGCCGCGGCTAGGGCCGAGGGCAGGGCGGCCTCGCGTCCAGGGGCCTGCTCGCGTCCTTCGGACTTGCGTGGTGAAGGGTGGCGGGGGAGTGGGGAGCTGCAATTACCATACTAACCTTCCACTCATCAAATTACTTAGAGCTAATAACTTGCTTAGGAACCAAGAAGTACCCCCAACCACTGTAAAAGACCTCATTTCATTTAGATAATAAATACTCCCTCCATTCATAATTCATAACAACTTCTCGTTTGGGGCAAGATTTAGTTAAACCTTGAAAACTAAAAACATCAATAACTACTAATTATTTGGTTTCAAAATGTGCAAGTTATATGTGCATTGTGTTCAAATACTTGCAAAATCTCTTACATTTGAAGAATTCTAAAAGTATACGACAAAGATGTAATGGTAAAAACAAACACCGATAAAAAAAACCTTGCAAAATCAAATATATCAAATAGTTGACAACAAGCTGCCTATGTTTCTTAGTGGAAACCTACTTTTTTAAGAGAAAGATTATGGTTCACCTTCACAGGATCAAGGAAGATCTCCATGTCTCGATTATGGACTGGTTAAACACGTTGTAATTCCCCGGCTACTTGCTCTTAGCCTCTGTAGCGCCCCGGTTATGTGCCATATAGAGCCAGTCCCTGTATAAAGCACCACATGCAGGCGGTTGTCGGTCAGCCATGGGGCACAGCCGCACAGGGCAGCTGCGATTGGAGACGCGAGAGGTGTTCATAGCAGCGTGGTGAAGGCAGATCGTGTAGTGTAGGAAGGCTTTTTGCCGCTGGTAAACCGTGCAAAAGGAAGGCTTTTTGTTCACGCTGAGTTCAATGTTGATCTTCGAGACTAGACACGGCGGAGAAGATAACGGTAATGCTCTCTACCGAATGTATGTATGGCCGGACGGGACGAACCCGCCTGCCCCCACGCTTCGTGCCTCGTGCCCCCACCCGTGCCTCGTGCCTCACGTCGCCTGCACCTCGCGCCTCCCGCCTGGACTCACGCTGCGCACAACCGAGGTCCGACCTCCGCGTCGTGGCATCGAGCTCCGTGCCGGCGTCAAGCTCCGCGTCAACGAGCGTCCATTAGGGGCATCAAGTAGATGAGCACATGTTGCCCCCGTATGTTTCATGCGTTTTAGATGTATGTTGCATATGTTAAGTTTTATCAGGATGTTGCAAAAGTAGATCTGATGTTGCATATGTTGCCATGACTATACACGTATGTTGCAAGTGTATGTTTTAAATGTTTTAGCTGTTTCAAATGTATGTTGTAAGAGTTTTATCTAAATGTTGCATATGTTGCATTGGCTCTACACGTATGTTGCATGTGTATATTTCACATGTTTCAGCCATTTTAAACGTATGTTTCAATTGTTTTGTCTGGATGTCGCATATATTGCAGTGTCCATACACATATGTTGCAAGCGTATGTAAATGTTTCATCTGTTTTGGACGTATTTTACAGCAAATACTTTTATATTGCAAGTGTTTCATGAGCAGACGCAGCAAGTAGGCGTAGGCTAAGGTGGTCCCCTCAGATGCAGTGGTCCCTATGTGCGTGTGGGAAGCGAAGCGGCCGCAGTAACAGGTGGGGAGCACAGAGATATATCCATGGGCATGGCAACAGACGCGGAGCACGAAGCTGCATCCATGGGCGGACAGCAAGTGTGAAGCACGAGCGAAGCGGAGCACGGAGCTGCATCCATGTACAAGCAGCAGGCGCGGAGCACGAGGCAAAGCAGAGCACGAAGCTACATCCATAAACACCCTAAGGATATAAAAACGGGCGGGCAACAGACGTGGGCGTCTGGACGAACGCCATGTCCGAACGTCCGGGCACTGGTCTCTTCGAGAAGATAATGACATTGCTCGATGGTAAAGACTCGTGTTAATAACATATCGTGAACTACACGTTCCTAGTGGTTAGGACGCTGTCTTCTCCGCCATCCTCAGCAACACAACATAAGAGAAATTGAGAATAACACATCAGAGACACAGGTGTAGGTGGAGCTCTTTCTTATATTCAATAAATTAGATTAGATATTATAGTAGGTTATGACTCGTCCACATACAGACTTTTCAGCGATAATTTTTTCTTTCACTCCATCAACAATAGAGAAGCAACTCTCTCGAGTTTTCTCTGTGGAATAAGTCTAATTTACCTCCCACAACTATCATAGTCATCCGATTTTTCTCGTTGAACTATAAAACCTGTTTTTTTACCTCCCTTAACTTTTAAAATCGTTTGTTTTTGCACCTAGGGTGGTTTTCATAGTGGTTTTACTGATGTGGCGACACATTAGAGGTGGTAAATCAGACTAAGCTAAACGTTCAAGGAGGTAATCGGACTAGAAATATTTTAAAAAAATATCCAAAAATCTAAAATATACGTTTTCAAAAAATTAATTCAATTTTTTTTGCTTGAAAAATAATGCAATTAAAAATAAAAAAATCCGGTTTAATCTTAAAAAACTTGTTTTACCTCAAAAAATTATGAAACTACTTTCAGGTTTGTCTTTTCCAAAACCATACGCGATCTTATGGTGCCTAGCTTGAAATTTTTTGAATCTTCATGGGCTCATTTTGAAGATTATTTGATAGTAGAATTTTTTATTATCTATTATAATAAGTCAATGTTGATCGCCTGACTACGTAGAAGCGCCAGTGGAACGTCGTCAAGAGCTTCTACTAGTAAACAAGCACCAAAATGTGTCTATTGAGATTCAAACAATTTCAAGCTGTCCACCATAAGATAGAGCATAATTTTAGAAAAAAAAATGTGAAACTAGTTCATAATTTTTCGATGTAAAATAAATTTTGTATGGATTTTCTAAGATTAAACAAGATTTTAGGATTTGTAATTGTATTATTTTTCCATGTAAAAATATTTGGATAAATTTTTGAAAACTAATTTTATGATTTTTTGTATGTCCTTTTAATAATATTTTTAGTTCGATTTACCTCCTGAACTTTTACCTTATCTGATTTACCCTTTCTAACATGGCTTCACATCATACCACCATCAAAACCATCTAAGCTGAAAAACAA